CTGACAGACCATTCCAGGTGCACTTGCTGACATCAGCGCGCAACGAAAACGCAGAGCGATGCCTGCTTTGAGCACAGTTAGGTTGAACGACTATCTCGTCCGCAGCTTAGAGTGTATGTCGAAAACTTAAAACACACACGAACACACACAACACACACACACACACACACACACACACACACACACCACACACACACACACACACACACACACACACACACACACAAATGTCTCGGTTACCGAATGGTTACATTGACAATGCTGATATCACCAAACATCATACCCTCTCGCCAGGCGTGCTCCTAGACTTACCTAGCGCCATGTATTTCTTGTACTGATGCTCATATGGGCTCCAAATTATTTTTCTGTAACGTTCCCCGCTATCGCCTCCGAAGAACACATCCTTGGGCTTGTTGGGATCCCTGTGAAATGTTTACTGGTCAACTGGTTTTAGGCGCACAACAGTCAAATGCAATAGAAATGAGCGTGCTCTTTTGGTCGGCTTGGCACCGGCTTCTAGTTCAAAACCAACCAACGTGGTTATCATTATTGAAACAAATCATTGCTGTTGGACACAACGTTATCTTTGGAAGGACGGTAGGGCCATTGCTTGATACGGCCGAAAGAGCGCGGTTCGTTATACTACGTCATTACATAATTACTATCCACAGTCACGTGCACTTATCAAACTCAGCAGGCGGTTATACGACGTGAAAAGTATTTTTAGCTAGATCACTGAAAGCGTTGGCCCACTCATGACCACAACGAGACACATGAGACGTACCGGCCAGAACCTCGCTTTTCCCAATCCGAATAGTTTTGAATCCCTTTTTGAGCATATGCAAGATAATATGTAACGAGGCTTGGTGCCATTTTTTATAGAGGGCAGTTTAATATCTCTTCACCCTGCATCTTGAAGCAGTGAATTATAGCTTGACTGATTCACCGAAGTTGTTCACCCAAAATCGTCTAAGATCATTGATAATCTGTTATTTCAGTAGGTCTTCCTTCAACACTGGGATACACGCGAAGTGGGGCTTGTAACGTGACACCAATGGATGTCTCACGGCAGCGACATAAGTGGCGCGAAATTTGCGCCAGGCGCATGGCCTCATTTGTTTCCATTTCGGCAGCTCTGCAGAACAATTGATGTCGATGTCATGAGCCAAAATGGGACCCATCATACGTTAAAGCACATATTGCTTTGGAGTCCCAGGAGGCTGGCAACCGCAGAGACCTTCATTCTACTCTGTTATATATATATATATATATATATATGTATATATATATATAATATATATATGTGTATATTATATATATATATTATATATATATACACGTATGCACATTATGCATTTCGCTCAATTACTATAACGTGCATATCAGTTGCGGTCATAAGGACGGCGTCATTATCACCAGGGCTCAGCCGGCGGCTTTCACGGTGACAGCACTGCGTGTCATTCCATAATCTGGTGATGAAGAGCATAATTTTGTTTTTAATTACCATCGACCACAATGGGCAGTAATGCGCCACGCTCAGCAGCAAAACTTTAGAGATAAGACCAGCGAATATTTGCGTGGATGTGCACGGTGCACAGCTGAGACGATTTCTTTTGATAACGGGCGACACCAACGTGAACAGCCAAATCAGACATCAGTTACCATGCCTATCAGTGTTTGTGCCGTCTTTAATCCGTTCGCAGAGCTTAGATGCTTAGATTGCTGAATGGCCTGGGTTTGGTCCTTGGACTCTAGCTTCTTCCCCTCGCCAATGTTGACCGCATCTCTCGGCAAGATGCGTGTTACCACCCCGGCTGCAACAGTGCTGCCTGCGTCTGTTACCCGGACTTGGCGAAGTTGGTCCAGTAGGTGACGGCGGCCTCGGAGAGTGCGCGGTCCTCTGCCGACCACAGGCCGGTCAGGTGTCCCGGCCGATGCACGAGCGGCTCGCCGAACACGTACGGCAGCTCACCTCCGTATGACTGCCGGGAGCCCTGCGGCGCACGTGGAGCCGTCACGTCAGGGCGCAGCGCGACCTGGTGTGGGTACAGAGCCGTCAGGTCAGAGATCAGGCTCAGACCTCTGGCGCATCGCAATTGAGGGGTGGGGAAGACCAGGGCAGCATGAGGTGCTCAGCCGTCGTGGTATGTGAGCGACGAGATGATCTGGGAAATGGAAACCCCTGTGCAATTTATGTGTTTGTCATTTGTCAACACGTTACCACGCTACCATGA